TGAGACAGAGTGTTGCTCTGTTGCCCAGGCTGTAGTGCAGTGGCACGATCTCGGCTCACAGCATCCTCTACCACCCGGGTTCAAGTGATTCCCCTGCCTCAGCCTCCTGAGTAGTTGGGACTACAGGCATGCACCACCACGCCTGTATTTTAGTTGGGCTTTCACCGTGTTGGCCTGGATGGTCTGAATCTACTGACCTCGTGATCTACCTCCCTCGGCCTCCCGAAGTGCCATGATTACAGGTGTGAGCCACCACGCCTGACTTATTTTTTTTTTATTTTTAGTAGAGACAAGGTCTACCACATTGCCCAGGCCGGTCCCAAACTCCTGGACTCAAGGGATCTTTCCACCGTGGCCTCCCAAAGTGCTGGGATTACAGGTATCAGCTGCTGCACCCAGCCCTATTTTTTAGTTGAGGTTAAAATATACATATAAAATTTACCATCTTTATCTTTTTTTTTTTTGAGGCAGAGTCTCACTCTGTTGCCCAGGCTGGAGTGCAGTGGCACGATCTTGGCTTGCTGCAACTTCTGCCTCTCCAGTTCAAGTGATTCTCCTGCCTCAGCCTTCCGAGTAGCTGAGATTACAGATGCCTGCCAAAATGCCCAGCTAATTTTTGTATTTTTAGTAGAGTTGGGTTTCACCATGTTGGCCAGGCTGGTCTCGAACTTGTGACCTCAGATGATCTGCCTGCCTCGGCCTCCCAAAGTGCTGGGATTACAGGTGTGAGCCACTGTGCCTGGTCCATCTTTATCATTTTTAAGTGCACAGATGAGTGGTAAAAAATATATTTATATTACGTTTTTCTCCATCTCTTCTCTACCCTTCCCTTCTGCCCTTTTTTGGGTTGACATTGCACATTCTCTTTTTTTTTGTTATTTCTCTCAGGAGGTTGGAGGAGACATTGCACATTCTCTATAAACTCATCTACTCCCACTGTGTCAGTTGCTGTCAGTACGCTGAATACTTATGAAGCTACGTTTCCTGGCCTGCTTTTCTGAGTTTCAGTTTTTCCTCTTAGCTACTAGATTTCTTTTTCTCTTTTAGAGACGGTCTCGCTCTATTGCCCAGGCTGTAGTGCAGTGGTAAAATCATAGCCTACTGTAACCTCGAACTGGTGTGCTCAAGTGTTGCTTCTGCCTCAGCCTCCTGAGTAGCTGGGACTACAGGCACGCAGCACCATGCCTGGCTAATTTGTTTTGTTGGGACAGGATCTTGCTCTGTCACTAGGCTGAAGTCCACTGATGCAATTGCAGCTCACTGTATCCTCGACATCTGGGGCTCAAGCATCCTCCCACCTCAGCCTCTCAAATAGCTGGGACCACAGGTACACGCCACCATGACTGGCTAATTTTTGTGTCTTACTGTAGAGATGGGATCTCACCATGTTGCCTGGGCTGGTCTGGAACTCCAGGGCTCAGGTGGTTCATCCGCCTCTGTCTTTCAAAGTGCTGGGATTACAGCCTTGAGCCACCATGCCTGGCCTAATTTTTAAAGTTTTTTTGTAGAGACAGGAGTCTCACTATGTTGCCCAGGTGGTCAAGCTCCTGGGCTCAAGTGATCCTCCTGCCGTGGCTTTCCAAAGCCCTAGGATTACAGGTGTGAGCAATTGTGCCCTGCCCGATAGCTTTATCTGGATCTGCCATAGGCTCCTCAAATTCAACATATTGAAAATGGCCCATTCTTTTCTTCCTGTAGTCTCTCTTTATTGTAAGACAGGGTCTTACTCCGTTGTTCAGGCTGGAGTGTAGCGGCACGATCATGGCTTACTGCAGCCTTGACCTCCTGGGCTCAAGCGATCCTCCCGCCTGTCTCCTGAGTAGCTGGGACTGCAGGCATGTGCCGCCACAGCTGGCTAACTTTTATATTTTCGGTACAGTTGGAGTCTGTGCTATGTTGCCTGGGCTGGTCTTGAACTCCTAGGTTCAAGTGATCCTCCTGCCTTGGCCTCTCAAAGTGTTGGAATTACAGGCGCAAGCCACTGTGCCCGGCCTGTGTTCTCTTTTTCAGTGACTAGTACACCATGCTTACCTATCCAAGCTAGAAAAGTGAGTTTATTCAAGTCTTGTCAGGTTTACCTTCTTCTTAACTTGTAATCTTTTCATTTCTACTGCTGTTGCCGTAGGTCAGAGCCATCTGATTTCTTTTCTGGACAAAGACTTTTAAATGGAGTTTGTTGCCTTTAGCCTATCATTTCCCCGGTGCGTCCTTTAGCAGGTGCATAGATGGAAGGATTTACGTTTACTCAACAAATATTTGTTGAGCCATGTGTCCCGTCCTAAGAGTTTGTGATACAAATTTGAATGGATCATGGGGGAAGCTGGGAGCCAATCAATGTATAATTTTACAACTTTAAATGAGCTTATGTCTGTAAGGTGCATGAACCATGCTTGGCACACATAAATACTTGTTAAAATATGGAAAGTATACAGATAACCACAAGGTGTGGTATAGGAGCCAAGGGTGTTATGGGGAAGGAGGGGTCACTGAGTGAAATAATTGTTTCATGATTAATTAGTACAGAGCCAAGGGCAAAACAGGTAGCTACGTCCTTGTGATTTGTTTCTCTTTCCTGAAGATGTTTGATACTGTCAGACTAGTGTGCTGAGTCCTTATTCTGATTTGGGCATTGAGTCTGTGTGCAATGATAACAAGCCACCTGGTAGCTCTGGGCTTTGTTTTCTTCACCAAATCTTAAAATTGAGGGGGCAGTCAGATTGGAGGATCTCCCAAATCCTCCCATTTATAAAAGCCTTTGGTCCTAGGATAAGATCATCAATGCAATATTGGGGGCTGGGTCTTCAAAACGAGACAAGACTTTTTATGGATTTCAGGGAGTAAATTTTATTTTATTTTTTTTTCCTGAACATCTTTCTTGAATTAATCAGGGAGTACATTTTAAATGTTGGGAAATAATTCTGCCTTTTTTGAAATTTGGTACTCTCCTGTTTTCCTGCAGTTCTTATTTGTTACATGCACAACAAAAGCCATTCAGCCAAGATGTCTCCTTTATCGATAGTTACGGCCCTGGTGGATAAGATTGGTAAGTCATATCATCTTCTGTGCATACTTAGAATTCTTAGTAATTGCAGGATATTATTGAGATTACTGGAAGTACTCTCCTTTTTTTTTTTTTTAGATGGAGTTTTGCTCTTATTGCCCAGGCTGGAGTGCAATGGCTCGATCTTAGCTCACTGCAGCCACCACCTCCTGGGTTCAAGCAATTCTCCTGCCTCAGCCTCCTCCCGAGTAGCTGGGATTGCAGGCTGTGCCACCACACCCAGCTAATTTTTGTATTTTTAGTAGAAACGGGGTTTCACCATGTCAGCCAGGCTGGTCTTGAACTCCTGACCTCAGATGATCCCACCGCCTCTGCCTCCCAAAGTGCTGGGGTTACAGGCATGAGCCATTGCGCCCGGCCCTTTATGGGGAATTTTAATAAATATATGCACATGAAAATGTCTAGAATGCTATATACCAAGATATTTATTATAATTAGGTGGAAGAGTTTTGCATGATTCCAGTTTTATTTATTTTTATTTTTTACTTTACATTTTTCAAAAACACAGATTTTTGAAAAAAATTTCTTCTGTGTGTCAAAAAAGTTATCTTAGTTTTCAAGACAAAAAAGAAGTGTAGTGGAATTTGCCATAATTTCTAATTGTCCATTTACAGAACAGAAAAGTTTTAGTATGAATTGGACCCTGATTGACTTCTGTTTTGCAGATATGTGTAAGAAGAACTTGAGCCCAGAACAGGACATTAAGTTCAGTGGCCATGTTAGCTGGGTTGGGAAGACATCCATGGAAGTGAAGATGCATATGTTCCAGGTAGATATGCACCTGAAGATTGTCCACTGTTTAAATAAAACCAGCTAGCCTCCATGCAAGAAAAACTTATTTACCTGTGTATCTGTAGACAGTTATGCCACTCACTGCTTCTAGAAAAACAATTGAAGGCCGGACGTGATAGCTCATGCCTATAATCCCAGCACTTTGGGAGGCCAAGACGGGTGGATCATGAGGTCTGGAGTTTGAGACCAGCCTGGTCAAGATGGTGAAACCCTGTCTCTACTAAAAATAAAAAAATTAGCTGGGGGTGTTGGCAGATGCCTGTAATCCTAGCTACTTGGGAGGCTGAGGCAGGAAAATCGCTTGAACCCAGGAGACGGAGGTTGCAGTGAGCTGAGATCATGCCACTGCACTCTAGTCTGGGTGACAGAGCAAGACTCCATGTCAAAAAAAAAAAAAAATTGAAAGCTATGTCATACAGATGGTCGGTTATTAATATCCTCCTTGTGGGCAAAGCCTGATGTACTATTTGGTGTTTAATATTTATTACTTTCTAATCATATACAGCTCCATGTTAAGGTGTTTATTTCTGCTTCTGCCCAGGAGAATTTCACAGAAGTCTGTGTTATGGGAGGAGTGAATGGAATTGATTATTCATTTCCCAGGACTGCTATGCAGTTGGCCCTCTGTGTCCATGGGCTTCACATCCACAGATTCAACCAACCATGGATTGAAAATGTTTGGAAACAAACAAGGAAAAATAATACAAATAAAACACAATATAGTATAATAACCATTTAAAAAAGTAGAGACAGGGCTGGACGCGGTAGCTCATGCCTGTAATCCCAGCACTTTGGGAGGCAGAGGTGAGCAGACCACTTGAGACCAGGAGTTTGAGACCAGCCTGGCCAACATGGTGAAACCCTGTTTGTATTAAAAAAATACAAAAAGTAGGCAGGTTTGGTGGCACATGCTTGTAATCCCAGCTACTTAGGAGGCTGAGGGATGAGAATTGCTTGAACCTGGGAGGTGGAGGTTACAGTAAACTGAGATTGCGCCACTGTACTCTAGCCTGGGCAACAGAGTGAGACTCATCTTAAAAAAAAATTAAAAATAGAGAAATAGAGATGGAGCTTCACCATGTTGCCCAGGCTGATCTTGAACTTCTGGCCTCATGTGATCCTCCAGTCTTGGCCTCCCAAAGTGCTTTTTGATTACAGGCATGAGCCACCGTGGCTGGCCTTATAACAACAATATATGACATTTACATTGTATTAGGTATTATAAGTAATCCAGAGATGATTTAAACTATGTAGGAGGACGTGCATAGGTCTTACATAAATATGACACCTTTTTATATAGGGGAATTGAGCATTTGTGGATTTTGGTATTGACAGGTGGTGGTGGGGAGTTTAGGAACCAATCCCGTGTGAATTCCAAGGGACAGTGGTACCACAAAGTACCATCAGCTGGTGACATAAAAGCAGAAAATGTATTGACTCACAGTTTGGAGGCTACTAATCCAAAATCGAGGTGTCAGCAGAGCTACGCTCCTTCTAAAATTTGTAAGAGAGAAGGCTTCCTTGTCTGTTTCTTGCTTCTGGTGGTTTGCTGGCAATCCCTGGCGTTCCCTGGCTTGCAGCTGTAGCACTTCATTCAGTCACTGCCTCTGGCATCACGTGGTGTTCTCTCATGTGTCTCTGTGTCTCTTCTTGTCAGGATGCTGCTAATCATAATGGATTAAGGACCCACCCTACTCCAGTGTGACCTCATCTTATCTAATTATGTCCCAACGACCTGATTTCCAAATAAAGTCACATTCATATTTATGGGGGTTAGGATTTCCATGTCTTTTGGGGGGACAGAGTTGGACCCTTAACACAGTTGGACCCTGAATAGTTATTTGGGCTATTACAGTAGTTAGGAACAGCCCATCTGATGAGTAAAACTTAGAATAGCTATTACAAACAAATGAAGAAATTTGACAAGAAAAAGTACCATACACAGAAATAAATGACTTGGTGTATGTCCAAGATTTCATTCTGGAA